TCTTGCTAGTTTTAATCGAATTCTTCAACACCTGTTCAGTTGATTTTTGTTTTGTTGTTTGACCCATTCAATGCTTATGAGAAACGTAAACGATTACTAAGCTATTTCTTTACAATAAGTGCCTTTTATACATAGTGATTTCACAATGTTTAATAAAAAAGTGCATCCAAAATTGGAATCGATAAGTGTGTTTTCCATGATGGAAATTTGCGGCGACAATGCTTCAGCAATGGCCTTTTTAGAGGAGTCGGGCTTAGTGCCTTCAAAAAAATCGATTCCTCCAAAATGTTGCGGGATAAGCATGAGAGTGGAAAATGATGTTCGTCGAAAGCTGGGTTGGATGTGGAGGTGCGGATCTTCAGTTACCAAGGGGAAAACTTCAAACTGCCGTAAAATTTTGAATCCAAGTGATGGATCTTTCTTTGACGGCAAGTACAAAACATAAAAAATAAAAAGGCTTTCAGAATGTATTTAAAAAATATATAATTTGTAGGTAAATTTTGTCACATTTCAATCGCAGATGCTTTAGCCATATTATTTTGCTTCGTAATGGATGTTAAGGTGAGTAAAAATTTGTTCACTGCCTCTACGTGTTCACCATTGGAAGTCATAACTTTTTGTTTGGCTGTCGTTTCTAATAGCAATTACTATAATATATGCACATACATACATATGTAAAATAGATTATGCTAATGTACTTACGTATTGATTCATGATTCATCATTTTGAAATATGTACTATATATGAAAATTATATTCCATCATCTATGGAGTTTAAAATATGTACATAAATTAGTAACTTAACCCAAGGACAAAATCTAAGTATATATCTACATGTGTGGGTATGCACACTTGTAAAGAAACGTGTTATCTAAAAAGTAAAAACATGTTCTATTAACAAATGCATACAACATAAGATAAGCCGGTCAATATAATCAGTAACAAGTAGATAATTTCATATGTAAATCGCCAGATTAAAACCTACCATAATCTTGGTTAGTTCACTGATATTAAATTTTTGAACAACATCACGTAGTACCTTATCGATTGTAATGTTCTATGATTAAATATTACTGAAAAAATAGTTATATACCCAACAAACATTTTCGTTTGAGCTCACTTTGAGGGTAAGTTGAGAACTAAGGTATTTCTCAAATCGCTTAACGTTGTTTCTCAATAGTACCTCAAGTGGAGGATCATAGCATTCTCAACAAAGACCGCATTTTTCTTTGTATGAATAAAGGACAGTTTTTCAAGTTGAGAAAATGCTAGTTCTCAACTTGAACTCCAATGTAATTCTAAAATTGCTCGTTTCTGTAACTCTTCTCTACCGATTATTTCTCTACTGGTAGAGAATATACGTCATTCTCTACTATCTCAATTCGCCTTGGTAGAGAATTGTTACAGAAACAAGCTACTAGAATTGAAACGACATACATAGATGAATTTAAATATTAATTTTTAGTTTTATTACTCCTTTTGTATTATGTAGTTAATCAATATCGTATTACAATAATTCACTTCACTGTATACAGTCCGACAGTAATTTTGCCACTTGATTCACTTCGCGTTTTATTTTCTTTCAAGATTATTTGAGGATACTTTGTAAATTACTTACTTTTTGTTGGCAATTTTCCTCTTTATATAGCTTTAGTTTTTCACTTGATAATTAAAAATTCGGTTCTCTATCCCTTTTTTGAGTTGGATGATGTTGGATATCAACTTGAGAACTATGAATTTCTTCAAGGTTGGAGAAATATTTTTTTGGTGTTTATTGGGTAATAACACACTGCAACACTCAAAAAGTGTTGGGAATGGGACCAGTAGCATACATTAAGAGGTAAAAATTTGAATAAATACCAAAGCATTTGTAAAAGTTGGTTGTCATTTCCACTGTATCGATTTGAAGTTGTGAATTTAAGGCTAAAAAATAAACAAGTCAAATGATTTTTTTTTTGGCTTCGCTCACAAATTTCATACCTACATACATACATATGTATATGTATGTATATATAATATAAATTTTCCAGTTGAACTGTGCTAAAAACTCATCCCCTCCCCTTCCCGCTCCGTTAACATTGGAAGATGTGTTTAAAACTATACATTCTCATTGGGAGTTTATTTCGTCGATTTCAAAATGAGATAAAAAACAAATGGTAACCAACTTGTTCAAATTCTTTGGTACTTTTCCATTATTAGACCAGCTTAATCACCTGCTGTTGGTCCGATTCCCATCACCTCGAACTTTTTGAAATTTAGTTTACAGTGTAATTATTGTGTGAATGATAAATAAAGGCTAAAGATTAATTAAATATTTTACTACGGCGTACAAAATACATTATTTGATTTAAAAAACTGTCTTTCTTTTTAAATAGATAATATTTGCATTGAAACATTTGAATGCTTATCGGCAACGCAAGGGTGACGCAACGTCTTTAAGTACCGGCACTATAACGGACTACTACAGTCATTGTCGAGAAATAACAGAGATCATATCCTCTCATACAGATTTAGATTTGGGAAATTTGGGCAAAATAGTCTTATTTGATGAGACGTTTTTAGCAAAAAGAAAATATAATCGTGGTCGCTTTAGCGAAGAAATGACTATTAACGTAGTTGGCCTATTTTGCAAGGAGGATAGAACAGGAATATTTTATAAAGTTAACCAAACGAATATTAAAAGCTTATGGCCGTATATTGCCGAACTGGTTGACCAAGGGAAGCCAAAGAACAATGCCTTCTCCGACGAAGAGGAAAGTGATTACAGCATGGAAGAGATCATTCAAAAAGGAAAGTCAATAAGAAACGTTTCTTCAAAAAAGAAAGCACCAATACTTAGTCATCAAAATATGGGAGCAACTTTTTACAGGTTTTTAATTTAACGTACACACA